AATATTTATCTTTTTATCTAATTTCATTGTGCAAACTTTCTTGTGAAGGTTGTACCCTTAAAGGCAGCATAAAATATTTTAAATTTAATTAAAGAGAATGAGGGAGTGCTACTCATTAATATCTATTGAGAAAGTAAAGAATTTAATGTAGCTGCAAAAGTGTATGTATATTACCTTTCTCCTAAGCCCCCTAAAATGTAGTAGCAAAGAACTATTCTAAGCACCTTCTTATTTAGTGTGAAACATTTTAAAAAGTAAAATGATTATGATGATGTAATAATTGCTCTGCTAATGCAAATTTCATAGCAAATGTAGTTCTTTTTTCCAAGTTTCAGGCTTGAAGGAGCTGTTTCTGGAACAGATTGATTTATAAAGCCCACTGTTACTTCAGAGGTATTAAGTCCTCTCTTACAACTTTTTGACAATGCATTTTCTCTTTTTCCCATGAGAGTCTTCTCCCTTACCAACCTGCCTAGTCCCTGAAGCCATTGGATTGCATGCACTTGGTGATTCCTCATGGACTGCAGCCCAAATGGAGTCCACCCAGAGAAAAGCCTTCAGTATAATGGCACCATTTCTGTAAACCTTCCTGCCTTTGGAGGCCACGCAGGCACCAATGTCATGTTGTTTTGAGTGCCTCCTGAAAAATCTTTATTTCATGAAGACTTCCATGACTGACCATCCATGATTTTATTGATATTCTGGTTTTAAACACAATATTTTATTATTTTATCAGGTTTATTGTTCACTCCTCCAGACTCTGTTTAGATGTGGAATGGTTTATATATGGTGTATATAAAATATAAATAATTGCAAATAAACTATGATAATTGGTAATATAGTCAAAGTAATATCATTGGAATATTTCATTGAGCCACAGTGGAGGCCCAGAAACATCAAGCTGTACAAGGCCAGCAAGCCTATGCAACCTAATTCTGTCACTGATAGCTCAGTTTTAAAATGAATTTGGTTTAATCATGCCACCACTAGGCAGGTCAAGAGATCTTTTTGACTAAGTAGGAGCTTAATTTCATGTGAAATGCTACAGCTTGCCTTGTAGCAGTGCCTGGCCAAATAAGCAATACAAGTGAAAGCAAAGTCATCATGCATTGTCTGGAGGAAAAGGCTTTTGTCTCCATGATACTTCCCTTCCAGAACTTTTTGGTCTCCATCCCCAGAGCTTCACTCTGGTTTGCCTTAGCAGATGTCATTCTTCTGACCTAGTCAAATGAAATAAAATGAGCTCTGAAGTGGGGGCAGGAGGGAGGATACAGAGGCTTGAGCTCCCATCCTATGTTCCTTTTCTATTCTCCTTTTCTATTCTCCTGAACGCACTGCCTAAACACTTACAATTGACACTCCATGCAAGAAAAAGGAAAACGTTATGTGTTAAATTAGGTGCCATTGTTATCAGATCTGCTTTCGGTGTAGGAAGAAAAGAATGAGAAGAACACAATTCTGTTTTTCTTACACTTAATTATATTTCTAAACACATCTCTGTGAACTTTTGGCATTCCTTACTCAAATGATGAGGAAATGGATTTGGAGACTTGTATTTGGAAAGGCACAGAAAGCGGGGAGATCCTATTTTATAAAAGACAAAACATAGCTGTATATTTCACAAAGCTAACCACTTGGAAGTAAGGAACAGCCATGTCTAGATTATGGTTAAGATCTGAACTTCTCACCAATATTACTTAATTCCTAATAGGGCAGTACATTCTCACCCAGTAAAAGGAACGCACCTGTTCAGGATTTCAGCCAGCTAGCTCTGCATTCCCCCAGGTTACTTTAAGCTTGTGAAGACCAATTTAATCCCCTCCCCAAGTTTTCCTTTCCAACTAAGGCTTAACAATCTGCTCCTGGAAGCCGCTGAGCCATCCATTCTGGGCAGTTTTTTGTCCAGTTTTATTTCCCTTCAAGTTAAAAGAATAGTTGTATTTCTGCACATCTCAGGATTCACCCAAGAAGGTTAAAACCTCTCTTGTTTCTCAGTGGCCTCATTTTGATTTCAGTTCCAATTCCAATACCACTCAGCCATCTGAATTTGCTATTAGACAGAATTATGAGGAATATGGATGTTTTCCATTATTATTTATATTCTGTCAATAAGTCATTTGAGAGTCATCATAGAAGGCAGATCACCTAATGGAAGGCAGCAGCAGTGACCTGTTTCACTTCCAGAGATGCTATCAGCTACTTCTAAAACATTTCTAGAGATGCTGATACAAGTGGCTATTTGGTATTGCCTTTATGTTTTACAGTAGTATTTCTCTCTGCTGAACTGGCACCATGTCCTTTCCTCAAGGCCAGGAACAGCATAGTGTGCCCTAGGTCATCTTCTTTCCAGAGGGTAGCCAGGCTAAGATCTGCTTTGCTTTAACAATGCAATCTATTGTATTTGTATTCTTTGTGAAGGTGTTAGGATCTTAGAATTTCTTTCTACTGTCTTCATGCTGTTGTTGTTTGGTACTATGATGTACCTTCACCAAGCAGGCTGATTTTCTGCACTTCCCGCCCTTGTAGCTCCTGGACAGTGGTGCTAGTGGTAAACATTGCTTTAGTCTCAGGTGGGTGAGGAGACTTTTATCAATTATCTGGAAGCCACACTTGGCTGTCTTTTCAGCTGAGTAGGAGAACAAAAACAGCCTAAGTGAATAAAGAGATGGTGACTCACTCCAGGAATGTTACATTTGTATGTAATTATATAACTGACCCTGAAGGGGTTTTTTTTTGGCATGTTTGACAGTTTGTCCACTAATGCAGCACTTTTGAAATAATATTTAGAATCTGATTAATGAAAAAAAAAAACCCCAACTGGCTGCCTGTTACAAGATTAACTAATGGAACAACAGACCCAAGCATGAATATGTTTATTGAAAAATTGTCTTTACATGCAGTGTTTTGGAAAGGACAGTATACAAACATGCATTTTCTTTTCCCTATTGTTGAGTGTGTGTCTGTGTGTTTTCTGATTATAGCTTATTTATTTCATATTAATATGATTGCAAGTTTATATTATGTATGAAATTATTTTAGACTCCTGCAAAGTATCCAATCCTGTATGTTTTGCTATGTTCTTAAGAGTGGACCACTGATGCAGATCAGTAACTGAATCTCTTTACTTCCACCACCCTTTAAAGCAGCAGTTGGTGGGCTCTGACATTGAATTGAGGGGGAGAGGGGTGATGACCTTCTTACCCTTTTCTTCATGATCTATGTTGATCTCCAACACTGTGAGGACAGGTGAAGCAAGCATGATAAGAAACATGCTTGTTTTTCCTAATGGGTAATAGAAGTTTGTGGGGTAATTTAGATTGGGAAAATAATGTGAGGGAATACTTAACAATGCATCTTCCCTGCCAACAATGCCATTGCTTCAAATAAAAGTGCTCCCCTCCCCACCAGCCACTTTAAAGTAATGTAGACATTTTAAATAACAGGTGTGATTGTGGACCTTTTGTGTCACAGCTGGTTTGTCATGTTGTTTAGAATGCAATAAAAAGAAATGTAGATGTTATTATCAGCAACAGAGTTAGAGCAAAGAAGTATTTTCATTCCTATGGAAGAAAGTGTTTAATGAAATGAACCTTCTAGGACTGTGCTCTTTAAATTAAGATAGTATTTTGTTAGCAGAGATGAATCAAGATGATTTGAAAAGAGACTAGACAAATTCCTGGAGGAGGCAGCTATCAGTGGCTGTAGTCTGTCCCCAGTATAAGAAGCAATGTGCTTCTGTGTGCCAGTTGGGTGGGAGGATGCTTTTGCACCCACGTCCTTCCAGTGGATTTCCTGAGGGCAGCCGGTTGGCCACATTGACAACAGAATGCTGCACTAGGTGAACCCTTGGTCTGATCCAACACAGCTCTTTTTACATCCTTAAGATGAAATGTGAGTTTTGAAATGCAGATGTCTAAAAAACAAGGCAAATACTAAAGAGGCAGTTATTCAAGTATTGTGTTTGCTTCTAATGAACAGCCCCTGTAATCTAAAGTAGTTCATCTAGATAAAATGCGAGCTAATGCTATAAGAACTTTGCCATTATACGTAGCCTTAGGAATGAGCAGGAAAGAAATGTATGATATTGCCAAAGACTGTAAGAGAAATGCCTGAGTGTATAGCTAAAGAACACCAGTTGCTAGAGAAATGCTTTGTTAAGAGATGCAACAAGGGATTCCTGATGCAGCTATAAATCCACTAGGGTAAGGAGGGCTCTGCAATAACCTTTCTCCATTACAGTATTAACTTCAAGGATTCCTAATGTTGAAACTTTTATAATATGGTTTTATCCAGTACAGTAACTTAACCTCCTCTTTACTGGGCCTTTCCACATCGGGAGAAATGACTTCACTAAAACAAATGGAGCATCATCCACTTTGTATCAGAATTAAGTTTCTATCCCGGTACTATCAAACATAAGATTTGTGTCTGCATGCTAGCCTCAAACTGGATTTCACATGGATTTTTCCTGGATATGGCAATCCTGAAAGTTGACGACAGCTGCATTCTACTATTTTGTTCATGTTTAAATGTCTCCGTGATGGAAACACAATTATTTCTGTCCAGTAGGTTTTGGAATAACATTTGCAGAAGGCTTGTTTCTTTTCAAAACCATGTAGTTTTCAGAGTTTTGCACAATGCAGAAAAGATGCCTAAACTCAAAGTGTATATACCTAAGCCTTGTAGCAATAACATATGTTTAGAACTTTACACTGACTGACTTTAAAAAAGGGGTTGGGTTGGGACTCCATTTTAAAGCAAACTGCACCATGAGCAAAATGATGGAATGGTATTTAAAACATTTGCACAGATATTTTAAAAAAGAACTAAGAAGAGACAATGGTAGAAGAAATTAGATTCTTGAGGACAAAAATCTTCCCAGTCCTCTTTTGATAATAAAACAAGGCAAAACAGCATATACAGAAACATTTCAAATATTTTTGCAATTATGTTCAGCTACAAATGATAGTGAAGATATGCTTAATATTTTTGTTCTGTAGAATGATTGAAGACTGTGGGAAAAGAGGAACTACCATGGCAGAAAGGAGGCAGCTGTTTGCAGAAATGCGTAAGTGCTGTGGGATTTTTTAGTTTTTCTGGCAGATGAATGCTTTCTTTCAAAAGTCCAACAAGACAGAATGTAGTAAATATTACATGGATTTGTGCCTTGGGCTACAGGCAGCTTGCTCTACAAAACAGGAATTTAAAAGTGCTTTTAGTGTGAAGCAAGTTGCAAAAAGATATATTTAATTGACCTGATGCTGTCTCTTTGTAGCTCTGTGGATTATTCAAAAGCCAGTTTTTCTACTATATTGGTTACTGCTAAGAGATCTAAGGCAAGCATATCTATAATAATACAAATATATTGCTTGGAGAAAAAAGAAATGTGAATAGTCCAAACCACTATCTCTTGCTAAATAGCACTAACAGAAGTCACCCTGACTATACTAAAATATCTCAGTGTTCTGCTTCTTAATTTAAATATTTTTAACACTGGCTTGAACTGAAATGTTTTCTGAGATGAATGATGTCTGGTACCAATATGAATTCTTCTCACTTATACATCTCAAGTTTAAACAGTCTTAAATTAATGTTAATATAATTTAGCTTTCAACTGAACATGGTTATCTTCATAGGCTGACCCCTACTCTTATGCATATTTGGAATGTCCTTTTGATTTCTATGTATCTTAATTTCAACTGAATGTGCCCAGCATTGTAATCTTACTGCACAAGGTATTTTGCAATCTTGTTTTTATCAGACATTCTATTATTTCCATTTCACATATGAGTTAATTTGTGGGATTCATATACAGCTCTTTCAAGTCTAAACCATGTTCCAAAGTACCTCATCTTAGGAGAAAGGTAAGACCTGATTACGTTTTGTAATAGTCCGTACCAAGACTGTTAGGTAACCTAGTCTGAATCCAAAGCAAGTACATCAGTCAGTTCGCAGTAGCGTTACCTTTTCCTTCTAACAATAAGAACCGCAAGTGATGCTCACAGGACTTGGGTTGAATCAGAGCTGTTTGGATCCTGATAGACAGTACACCCAACCTTCTTGAGCAGCTGTCTAATGGGCTAGGAATCTGGATGGAAGTTCCTGTCTGCTGGTAAAGAAGAACTCTTGGAGGGCATTTACCCAAGAGGCCAAAGTGATGCCCATGTAAGCTGCCAATGGATGCCAGCAGTGGATGGCAGAAGACCCCCATCAGGGCATTCCCCATTGGAAACAATGCAGGATAATAAAGAAAAAAGCCAAACTATGTGGAATGGACACAAATGAATCTGCTCTTCCTCCACCTAAAAGTGGGAAATGACGTGATACTTCACACTCCCTCCAACCTAAATTAGAATTGCACTAAAAATTAGTTGAACTTAATTCTGATTGAAATCAATGGGGCTGAAGTCATGAATATCTTTTCCCATATACTGAACTAACATCATCTGGTTCCAACACATTAAAAAAAACCTGGAATTTCCATTATATTGATGGACCTTGAACTATTTTGAAGCCATTTCAGCTTAGGCATGTTCTTATAATAGGAAATATCCTGTATTGTCAAATTTGATGAAAAATCCTAAAACCTGAGTTTCATTCTAACAACGAGTTAACTTGCATTTATTAAATTGTAAGTTAAACTGAAGATAAACTCCCCTTTATTACATTTTGCGATATATAAATTGATAAAATTTACATGTTTAATTAGTGATTCTGTTGCTTAAAAGCAAATTCTTCATTTTAAACAAGCCCCAAGCTAAAGAATCAGCTCCCAGAGGGCAAAAAATGCAGAACTATCAGATTAGAAAGTCAGATCCAGGCCTAGAAGTCTATTTAGTTAATAGGCCAAGTTTGTTAAGTACAAATTGGAAAAAGAGCTAAATTTTCTAATGATAAAATTTTGAACATGTATGAAAATAGATGGTCTGTTCTTTGCCTGAGCTCTGCTGCTAGAATTGTACTCTTTCCACAGCTGATAGAAGACAAATGATAATGTAGGAAATGAAATCTCAGTAGTGACAATACGGAGGCAAAGTACCAAAGTAGTGATAGTTTAATACATTCTTGCAAGAGCAGGCGCCCATCACACTGGCAGCGTGCTGTTTACACACAAGACATTGCTTTTTATTCCCTTTTCCTGGCTCGTAGACCCTACTTCTTTTCTCCCATTGGCTGGGTTACTAAGAAGTTACAATCTTCTCCGTCCGCCTACATCATACTACCCCTCGATATGTTCCCCCTCCCGCTCATACGTCCCATGTTCATGCTAATGAGCCCATTACCTATGAGAGGTGTGTCAGTTACTATTCATGAACCATTAAGCATGCACAGTACCTTCTAAGAGGTCAATAGGTTGGCGTGGCCTTGTAGATTCTTACTTGACGCCAACTTTCTTCTTAAATCTTGTGGGAGGATGAGATAGGAAGAACAGGCCTTCCTCCAGGCTTATTACGGCCAGTTGTAAAAGGTTATCAATTTCCTGCTTTCTTCCACTGAAGGTGACAGTTTTACCACTGTCCCCCAGTTTTACCCTCTCTGGTATTTTTCAGGACTTTGATGTAAGAAACACTATTACTTTTAGTACAACTATTTACATGGTTCTATCCTCAGGCCTTTTGGCCTTAAGGGACTTCAATGATCCTACCCTAGCCCTGTATTTCACCCTTTCTTTGATTTTCACCTTACCACTTAGTAACAGTAATACTTCATTTCTCACAATAAGAACTAAAAATGTGTTGTCCTTTCCTAACTTCCCAAATCAGTTGCCTGAAATACCTGCCTATCTCTGCCTAGCAGTAGGATTGTTTTCCATTGCCCAGTTGGAGCTACTGCTTCAGGAGCTCAACCTAACTGGGCTAGGTTAGCATGTTAATGGTGAAGGTTATAAAATAGGTGTTATTTTATTTTATTTACGTATGCTCCCTTTACATGCTTTACTTTCTGCAAAGAGGGCACCTTTTGATCTACCAACAAAACTGGATATCATTAACATCCTACTTTTTTTGTTTGCAAGAACCAGACAGTATCTTGTTTTGATTAAAGGGGTGTCAAGCTGAAGCCAATGCACACGTGCCCGCGTACACCCACACCCACACAGAGAGTGCAAGAGCACTACATTCACCTTGGACAGAGGCAAAAATCACATTTCCTTTGTTCCTGGGTTTCTATCCACAAGGCTTGTGGAGAGGAGCTTTGTTTTTAAACTGCAGGTTTCTCATTCAGTTATACAGCTGAGTGGCAAATTAAGAATGAGGTGACCTCTTAGGCAGTAGATGCCTGGGATGGCACTCCCACCTGCCCCATTCCATTTGTCCTGATCCTCCAATGGTCATTACCCCCTGTATCCTCTGGCTGGTCCCAACCTCCTGAGCAGGAATCTTGGTATGTTTGTATGTTACTAGGCTGAGCTGGCTGCCTTACCTACTCCCTTCTCCTAACACATCACATGGTTGGGAAAGGCGGCTGACTGGATGAGAAGGCAGAAAGGCAGCTATTCCACTCTTGCACTCCAGAAGCTCCGCAGGTGTGCATATGTTCCACCACTCATGTGGCACATGCGGCTGCCACACTGCAACATTTGTTTCAGCAGGTGATAAATGGGCATTGCACAGAGCAGTGAGCCAATGCTGGTTGGGTGCTGGATGACAGAACTATGTGTCTTCTGCCTCTTATTTCAACACTGGTAATGGGAGGTCAGCTTATAAAATTGCATGACCAGGCCAATCAACTACTGTGAAATGGTTGTATAAGGAGATCTTGACCGTCACATCATGTTGCAAAATGTCTTTGGTTAGCCCTGCAAATAAATATGTTGAAGTCCAAAAGTCAAATCAAGATGAGTACACAGTTCATATTTGTGTGGTCTTATTTTAATACAATAACCAAAAAAAACCACAGTAGTGATTTTCAAACTGAAATATTTTGACAATCAGTGACCATCTGTATAAATGTCCTTGAATCACAAAAAACCTACCTCGGTGTGATTTGTCAATGCTTGTGTGTTTGTCTTGCCAAATTTGTGGCAGGGCTAAAGTAGAATCTGCTCAACGGGCATTTAACATCTTCCATTCCCTTTAAGTGCAGGAAAGGAACATATTTGTTTGCTAGCTTTCATTGGCTCTGATTCTCACAGACGCAGAGCAAGATAACTTTCTCAATTCTGTGTTACATGCTTCTATGCTGCATCATTTTTCAGAGAGGATTGTATGAACAGTTCAAGGAAAAGCATTTTGTATATCATTTGAGTCAATACTTCCGCCCCTTCCTCACCTTATTTTCCTGGCAAGAATGGAGCAAGATTTCAAGCCTGTCAAGTTGGTGTTAAACACAATAATTGTGTGGAAATGGCCTTGTCAGATTTACTCTCAGTTAAGGCCAAACTAGGTAGCTATTATCAAGATTTTCCTTGGCTAATTACTTGACCCATTACATGCCTAAGAACATGAGGAATGCCTCAGATTCCCTTCTTGGAGAACAAATTCTGGATGCAGTAGGAAAATCACATTAGTCACAATCCTTATGCAAGTTTGGACAAAAACAGATGTATACCCTTGTGTAGGATTCCACCCTAAGTCTGCTAACAGTGCAGGAACAGGAGCCAAGAAAAATCATTCATTGTTTTGTATAAAACATCCAAAATAATGTTATGGACCAATATAATCAATATTGGCTTCCCCACTCCCCCAGATGAATGAATGAATGGCAAGTCCCCACTTCCAAATTGCTCGTGCAAATCCTAGTCTCCATTTCTCTCCTCAGTTTTTGTCTTGTTACCTTTTTCAAAACAGAAGTTCATACTTATATTATCACTGCACCATTTCAAAGGATATGCTTTGACTGTGTTCTGGGACTCATAATCCTGACAGGCTGACCCTTTGGATACATATTGAAGTTCAGTACTGCGTATTACTTATCCCTTATTACCCAAGGCTAAATTAATACAGAATAAAAGGATGAGATATTATTTGCATACCATTTACAAGGTTACAGTGCAAATACATTATTGTTGTCCAAGGACAATAAGGGATAAAATGTTCATAATGTTTCTCCTGCTCCAAAAGTAACCCACCACCAAAAGTCACTCAAGAACCTCAGCTTTAAAATATATTTAATAAGAGTCCTTTGCAATTAAGTAAGACAAGTGCAGGACTGTAGTAAAACCTAACTTGATATAAATAGAAAGAAAGGAGGAGGAGAGGGCAATGTGAGTATTGTTCAGTGAGTATTAGTTGAAAGTTGTTCCTACTCAGATAGGTTTTCCGATTTGTTCAGTAATGGGACAGATGAAGGAAAGAAGTTCCTGGTCTCTCAAGGATGAAACCATTAGATAGGTCAGAGGAGCATTTGCCAGGAACAGATAGTATAAGGGATATATGTGAAATGTATTTCAATTCATTTTTGATTAGGCTTTACCTAATTCATTTTTGTACATCCACATGTGAAACATATGTACTTTTGGAAAAAGTACACAAACATTCTTTAATCCTTGGGAGAAGCATGCATACATTTCAAAGATACACAGAACATTTGTGTATTACTTGCTTACATTTGGAAGAGTAAATACAAAGATATGCACACATTAACATGCAAAAAGAGAAAAACTAAGAGTACAATTTGACCACAAAGCTCAAGACAGAATAAGCATTGAGTAGAACTTGGAGAACTCATGGTTTGCTTGTTTGCAAATGGGCACTTGGTAAAAAGTGCTATGCAAATGTACTTTGTGTATCTGGAACAGAAAGAACAGTTAGCAAGAGTACAGTGAATAGCATTAGGTCAAGGAAGTAATAGCACTGCTTCTTTCTTTCATATCATAAAAGATTCTGGTTTCTAGCTCATAAGTATTTGTTCTCTGTGACTTAATCAGGACAAAATGGAGATGACGTTGCAAATTATATTTACTTTTCAGCTGGTGCTTTGACAAGTTTCTCAATTTATATTGCACACACAAATACATATACCTTTTTTTCTTTAACTTGTCTTCTTTCTCATTTGTTATGATCTGTTGCTGGAGGACTGTGATGTAAATATCCTGTCATCTTTCCATAATGATGATACCAACCAATTGGAGTTTCTGATTGTTTTATTTAAAAATGTATTCAAAAATTGCATGCATTTTTAGTGAGGTTCTTTACAAGGACTTCATATTTTTATAGGGACACGCAAGGCAGCTAAATATTATTATTTCCAACTTCATTTAGTTCAAATTTGCATACTTCCTCCACAGCTGCAATTGCTCAAACTGGTTGTCAAAAATCTTCCCTCACACCTGGTAAGCAGCATTATACGCCAAAATATTTTCAAATCTCTTAATAAAGCTTAATAAAAACGAAATGCAGATCTAACTTATCATTTAACTGAGTATAACAGGCTTTTAAAATCTTTTAATCTTTACCCAAATTATCATTTAAGTTAATTAGATGCCTTTCTCAGACTCATGGTATCTTACAACAGACTCGTGGTATCTTACAACAGGGGTTCAAGCAGGCAAACCATTTAAAACAGCTGAAAATAATGATTACACCCCAATACATTTATAGTAAGATAACTGAATTAAGTAATCCATCATATGCCATCAAATGCCTGAATGTGCTGAAAAGACAATGTTGTCATGAAAGCTTACTGGGGAGAACGTTCCATAATCCGCAGGCCACCCAAAAAGACCTCTTTCCTGGATTGCTGCCCTCCACACTTTCCTCAGAGGAGGACTCCCATTTTTGACTGTACTATATTGGTGGAGCCATCAGAGAAATCTGCAACAGATTCAAATGGGTTCCATTCTCTATGAATCAGATCCACAGATTCCACAGTAGATGCCTTTTTCTAAACGTCTTTTCCATGGACTTGCCATTTTTTTAAGTTCCCAGGAATTATATTCAGATTTAATTGGTACAAAAGTATGGAGAAAAGAAAAACAAATCAGACAGACATGTACATTTTCCTTCTGAGACTATAGCCTGAGACCCACTGTTGTGTGGTGGTTCAGTAGTTGAACTGGGGACCTGGGAGATCCAGGTTTGAGTGTCCCCTCAGCAATGAACCTCACTGGGTGACATTGGGCCAGTCATTCACTCTCAGCCTAACCTGCCTTGCAGGATTGTGTTGTGAGGATAAAAATAGAGCTATATAAGATGCATTGGGTTCTTCAATGAGGAAAATGTAGGATATAAATGCAACTTATTTATTATAATGTAGAGTTGATTTTTCCATTTTTGTCCACTTTGGGGAAGATTTGTGCAAATTCATATTAATTAATGCAACTGAGAAGGTATACTTTAGGACACTTGCAAATTAACACAAGTAGAATGCTGTTCCCTCCAAAAAAATCTCTGTCAACAAGCAGAAAACAGTATTAAATTTCCTAACAATCCACCGACAGAATGGATTGAAGAAAAGTTTTTCATCCCTATCTAGGGGTGGGTTCATATGAGAGAGATGATCTGTCATATAGGGAGGCACTCAGAGGTTAAAATTAGTACCTTGGATGGACAGAAACAGGCAGCAGCCAGGGCAAGTGGGTCCTTCTCAGTGTTATATGTTCACTCCTTCTGGAACTCCCATGATCAAACTGACCAGCATGTTTTGCCCAAACTGCACTTTCTTACCTTCTTCAGAGGTACAGGGTGCAGAGCACATTGCAGAAATCTATCATGGAGATCATCAGAGTATAAACTGTAGAAGCCCAGTTTTTCCTAAATAAACAGAATCAAAGATGGACCCCTGATCAAACTTGGGAGGAAGCACTCCTTGCCACTGAGGTCATTTTAGCTTCAAGTGACAGGATTCCAGGAGAACTCTCAAGCTACAAATCTGTCCCTTTGTGGGTGTGCAACCCAGTTCAGAACAGGCTGAATGCTATCCATCTAGTTGGAAGAACCACCCACTAGCGGCATCTCAGTCTTGTCTGAACCAAGTTTCATCCCATCCAGTCCAGCCAGACACAATCTAGTATATGCATTGCTTTAGTTGTTGAAGAATAGAAGGAGAAATGAAATGGCATGTTAACAGCAAACTCCAAAACCTAAGATAAGCACACTCAGCAATTTCATGTAGATGTTAAATAATCCCTATAAATTAGGAGCATTTTAGGTCTAATTTCAATCTTGCTTAAGGAATAATAACTCCATAGTATCTGAAAACAGGGTTTATTTGCTTGTCAATTGAGTAGTTAGAATCAGTTTCATTGGTTAATAGATGGCCTTTTTCATTGCAGGATGCCCCATTGTTGTTTCCAGTCACAGATTAGAGGTAACAGTGCAGACATGGATGCATGCAGAAGAGATGCCCAACTCAGTCAGCACTAGAAGGAGCAGCTTCTCTCTGTATCAGCTGAGTCCCTTTTCTGTGCTGAGAGAGGTGCAGACCTTGTCAGAACTGAGTTATGCAAAGTAGAATCATTCAGGGTCTCCAACCCATTCAGGAGACACTTTTGAAGAGCCTCCAAGTGTTGCCAAGAGAAGGGGGTGGCAACAAAGTTACTCTTCAGAATCTCTTCCTGCAGTGCAATGTGCAATACATCCCCAATATCTTGTTCTCAATTGGCTCATCTGCTGAGGAAACTTAGTGTACACTTGTAGTTAAATGTTAAAAGTAAACTGCTTTCCCTGCTATTGGTTCCCCCCACCCCCACCCACAGCCTGTAGTTTTATCAGATGGTTTTCAGTGTGGAGATACAGCTGACTTACTCTTTTCCTTTGCTAAACTATTTTTATCTTCACTTTCTTCCCCTTCTCTTTAGTCAGAAAAGACAACCTTGAAAATGTCCAAGAGAACACTTCTGTGTGTTCTCGCATCTGTGTGTAAGGTACATTTACAAATTACAACAATGATAGCACATTTTTCCTTCTCTACCATTAGGCGCTCAAGACCTGGATCGCATCCGTTTATCCACCTACAGAACAGCATGCAAACTTCGATTTGTACAGAAGAAATGCAACTGTAAGTGTGCCAGTGGTTAATTCGAATTACTATCATTAATCTTTCACTGTAGAGTTTTTTCCCCAGTTGAAATGCAAATAGGAATTCATTTTAATTCACATTCAGGAGATGCTAATAAGAACACCTGGCTTACCAGAAGACCATGATATCCCACTACTGCTAATTAGACTTATGCCTAAATGCTTGCATGCAGATGGTGGCAGGAGAGGTGGAGCTTTTAAATTGTGTTTTCTGAAAAGTATTTTTCCTTTATTGATATTATGAGATATACCATAAAATCAAAAGGAGTTCTTCCCTCCCAGCTCCCTCCCCTCAAGTTTTCTTCTTAATGCTATTAGATAAGTTCATTTTACCTCTAAGATTATCTTGTACAGCTGGATGGAACTTATTTTATGCTTTTACAGTAACAACAGATCTGAATTTCTGCATTCAAAATTTCCATTGCAAAAACTAGCAGATTTTTCTCTGTAAGCATCTTATTATATATGCTGCCCAGAAGAATGCTGGATGCTTCTTAAATTACAAACAGGACACCATTGTTTTACAGGATTTATATAATATTTTGATATTACTGGGAAAAACAGCTCCTGCAACAATTGCATGGCATTGACCGCAACTGATCATTTTTCAGTTATATGGTAGGTTAATCCTAGTTCTAGGAATGGTATATGAATGGTATATTTTGGGATTCATAGCAGAGGAAGCTCCTCCTCATAAGAAAGACTTCCAGCAGTACAACTTCCTATGCTTCACCATCTCGTATTGTCATATTCAAGCCTGAATCTGGTGATCTTCTGCCTGTCTCTCTGTAATGAGGTAGAGCTCTCATTCTGTAGATAACATTGGAAAAAGGATACAAAGAAAGGTGAAGCTAGGGATATCTGAGAATTTCGTTTATGCTTACAAATCATACACATGTATACCATTTGCAGCCCCAAACTTAAATGCAAGCAAGAGAACATGCTTTCTGAAAATGTTTGCCAATTTCTCAACTCATGCTCAGATAAATGGCACATTTTTCCATTTTACTCCAGTGCGGGAAAAGTGTGGCTTTTTAAAAAGAAAAAAATTGTGAGCAATCAAATAGAGAAAATGGTGTTTGGGGAATCTGGGTAATCACAAAATCACATATTCCTCAATCCTGAGGTACAGCCTATTCTCTTCAGCAAACCCACTATCTCTGGAACCCTCTGACCACCTCTATTCTTTAGCCCATCAGTTTTGTGAGTGGGCAGATCTATTGTATATTGGTTCGTGCATATTTTAGGAGGCAAATGGCACAACTGTGAAGCTTATCAGTCCTATTATAACAGATTTAAGCTATGTATCAGACATATAGGATGACTGTGGGATTGATAAATGACTTTTGTGATAGTGTACAGTATTTACAGTCCAGCCCCTTCTGCCTTTCCCCAGCCAGTTCTATGCTATGACTGTTGCTTGGAGCTGTACAGTTATGCTGCATCTAATGATCACAGCACTGTTGATACATTAGCTCATTATCATGGCTCATCTTGCATCCCTAGCTGCAGTGTTGCACAGATCACATGGTAACTATTATGTGTAGAGTCCTTTGTCCTGATTATGTATATAAGCTCAATTGCTTGTAATAGGCTTCACATTTGCGAAGCCTGGCATAAATTGTAACCCAAATATTAGGAAGCACTTGTGTTTTTGATTGAATTCATTGCTTCAGAGCATTTTGGAGAAAATCTTTTTTCAGCAGACAATAATGAGATACCCAGTGCCTTAGCTGCTTTCTTTACGAGACTATACCTTCTATAAACCCAAACTGGTTCACAATTCCACTGAGAGTGGTTTCTCTGTGCATTGATGATAAATGCCCAGAATGTCATTGGTGACCCAGTACCCTCCAGCAGTTTTGACCACAACTTATAGTCCATCTTTGTCAATGCTGGCTGAGGCTGATGGGAAATGTCACCAAAACAGTTGGAATATACCAGGTTGCCTACACTTGGTGTTCTCTGTTAATTTACAGATCATCAAATCCCATTTTTGTGATTACATAATTTCATTGATGGGCTTCTTAGGAAGGTGACTCTACATTGTTTTCAGTAGCCACCTTAGTCAAGACGCTAAGGATTTTCCATGATAGGGTGCTCTGTTTGCCCATCTTGTTCCTTGGTGACTTCAATCTTAATTCTGAAAGTCTCACTTGGCAAGCCATCTCATGCTTCCTTTTCCTAACATCCTCATTTAGTCTATGACTCCAGAATGACACTCCAAATTATAGCCACAATCACTCTTCATTTTGTGCACTGCGTGAACTGTTTTGTATTGACACCCCTCTCTTTTGAACGCCCCTTCTTCAACTATCTTTTTACTTTTTCTTTCTGCTTTCAGTCCTGTAAAATCTTCACATTCAATCTTCCCATCTCTCTCTCCTTCCTTGACCTACAGTCTACTGGTGCAATGACTGTCAGAGAAATATTGTCTCCTTTTGATGCCTCCACCAGTCTCCCCACCCCTAGACTCCATAGTTTCCACCATCAACTCCTACATAACATCAGCTGTTTATTAATTTCCCTGCTGTTCCATAGATTTGTCACCCCTACTAATTCTGATACCTGATTTACTGCCTCCATTAATTATTCCTTTGTTATGGTGTTGCTGAGTCCCTTCAGAGCAAATCAGGGTATCTGGTGACTCTAAATAAACACAGTCTTTTTTATCAGATATTTATTTGGCTACCATGTGCATTTCCTCCACACACAAACAAATTCTAAACACATTTAAGTGCATGTACATTCTTTCTTTGCTAACCTCTCTCTTTTCCTTCTCCATTCTTCAGTTATCTCCCCCACTTTAGTTTCCTTGAGTGCAGGGACTTTTCTGTTTTTTGCCTATGAAACTCTATAAGGCATCATATATGCTTATGGTATGATATATATGACAAAGAAGTCCCTTACACATTGTCCACCCCCTGCCCACACATACACACACACACACACAATAAGTCTAGAAGGTAACGAACTCACAATCATTTTACTGCTTATTTTGGGCTTAGTTATGGATCTCATCACTTTGATAGATAAGGAAGGAAGGAAGGTAAGCAAGTGAGTTGTGGAAATATGTATTGAAAGATGACAGGTGCTGATAGAATGGAGTCCAAAATTGGAAGGACTAAGTGCCAACTGATCACCGAAAGCACTGTATGATTGTCCGAAATTTGGATTTCCAGAAATACTGTTTAGTCTTCCTCAACTTGAAATGTTTCATTTGCTTAAAAACCACACACACACACACACACACACACACACACACAGAGTATTAATAAGATGAAATCTCAGTTTTATCCTTAGGCTATAGCTGCAGAAACCTAACATAACATATCATAATAAAACTTCATTATGCATTTAAAAAATTACTGTACAGCTGGAAAACTACTTCCATCCTAGGTGGGCTTTACTCACTATGTAATGTGATTGTTCTGCAGTGCTGGCTTGTAAAAAAAGCAAAGACTGCTAATTTCCCTAGATCAGAATAAATAGTTGGCAGTTGTAAGCTTTGCATTTAAAACATTGAATTTAAAGCCATGCCTATGATTCTAATATGGAATTTAATTAGAGCAGACAGACTAAGAGCCCATATCCCTGATGGTTTTGATTCAGCACTGGGGGGAGGGTTGTTTTTCTCTTCTGTTTTTTGTTTTGTTTAGTTTTGTTTTTTAATGAAATACTTTTTTGTGCTGTTTCATTTCCAGAATGAAACAGCTGTTCTCAGGAAATGGAACGGTGCTATCCTGACCATGAGGGAGACCTTGCTAAACTTGCATGTTTGCCTCAACTCTAATCCTTCTCTGCCTCCCACTTCTGTCCAAACATTCAGACCCTGAAGGCATGCAGGGTAGTCAGTTCCCATTCCTTATATGCCTTTGGGCCTCTTCCTCATCTGCCTGTCACTTTATGTTAGCCATATATACCTCCTTGTCTAATGCACAACAATTCACATCTGTAAATTAAATGCAAATGCTGCCAAAAATGGACTCACTTCAGATATTTTTAAACACATCACACTCTGGGCCAACCTCACATCCACGGTTAATATATTACCAAGCCAGCAGCAAACCCCGCCACAAAAATATTGGCAGGGCATCAAACTAGGATGCCAAATGAAGTTCCAGTGCAGCTGTGCAGCTCATACTTTCAAAACCAATTCCATATGTGCAGTGCATTGCCATACATTTCTGCTCAGCAGTAAACCCCATTGATTTGAGTGGAACTTACTTCCAGGTAAGTATAGCCTCAGGTATGCCTGCCTGCTCAGAGCCACTGCTGAGAAGACATGTATAGGATTGAAGCATGAATTCCTCATTTAGCTGCATTTCTTACAAAATCAGATGCTCTATTATTCCTAAAAAGTGATAGCCAAGTTAAAGGAACATTAACCCCAGGAACTGGGCAGAATCAAAGTGCCTTAAAATATGGGGCAGGTACCAAGCCTTTTGGCCCCATATTAACCTGGTGCATAAAACGTTGGTGCTGGTTCTTAAAAACTATTTATTTATTTATTTATTTATTTATTTAGGAATCTTCTATGCCGCCCCATTTGCCAAAGCCTCGGGGCAGCTCAAAACAATAAATAACATAATAGCAATATAAAAACAATATAATTGGAGACGTCCTGACCAAAGATGTAAAATCAATAATATTAACAATTAAAATGATGTTTAAATAAAAAAGTCTTAGTCTGGCGCCAAAAAACAAGTAACGATGGCGCCAGGCAGACCTCTCTGGGGAGCACATTCCATAGATTGGGCGCCACCACAGAGAAAGTCCTCCTCCGGGTATTTACCCTCCTAATATCCTTCACGGAGGGTTCCCGGAGAAGGGCCTCTCCCACTGATCTCAAGAGGTGGGCGGGCACATATGGACATAAGCACTCCTTTAGGTAACCAGGATCCAAGCCATTAAGGGCTTTGTAGGTAATAACCAACACCTTGAATTGGGCCCAGACTTCAATGGGGAGCCAGTGAAGCT